GCGATATTGCATAAGTATGGATTACCCGATGGATAATCATGAATTTATAATCGCTAACACGAATGAATTCCTTTGAATGAGGCTCCAGCGAATACAGAATTTTGTAGAAGATCTTTGGGGATTCTATAATCTTTAGAATTTAGAAAGACCTTGATGGATTTTCGTTGTAAAAGTGGAAATTTAATTTGTAAAACTAACCTCCACAATTTCATTTTTACTTCTAAATCGTAAAGATAAGCTAAAATAGTGTAGTGTGCGTGCAACACTTTCAAGGTGGCCAGCTTTAAGGGCGCTTCCTCCGCCAGCGCCGTCATTCGAAGTCGTAGTGGCTCGACGTATTCAGCCGCTACCGGTCGACCACCTAATCCTCCAGTCTAAAAAAATCATTCAAACTCAATTTTAAGCCTCTTATAACGCTAACCATACCCATACCTCAGTTGCTTGTTGCAATTCAGCTTGTTTAGCTGCCAAATCAATGAAATGACGCTGAAAAACGAATTTTAGCATGCTTTGAAATGCTTTAAAAAGTAAATGTTTACATTATGTTCTGAGATCATTTTCTGTAGCATAGCAAGACATTTGTGTGGTTCTTCCGAGGGTAAATCAAGCGGCGTGTTTATGATAGACTGGCCAGTAACGGTCCAGCCAGATAGCGTCGAGTACGGCTTTGGAAGTCTTTTCTCGGCACTTGCGGCCGCTGCTTCCAGATTAAATCGAACGGTTTCCCACCTGAAAGAAAACGTTATATGATTCATAAAGTCATAAAAACTACAATATTCAGATCTATATACCAATCTTCTCTAACACATCATTATCTGTAAATAAAATTCAGCAAATTTATGAAAATGGCAAACATGCAGGTAACTATGCGAATCTTCACATCCTCTGTAAAAGCAAAAATTTCAAAAACTGTAGATGGAGTGTTATTAGCTGTCACTCGATTTTTCCTCTTATTTGTTAGTTTTTTTTTTTGAAAAGAAATCACACTATATTAAGATGCTGCTATAAAAAGATCGTTTGATACATTTATGAAATTGAGCATTATTCCCGCCACCTTACCGTAAATAAATGCAGGTCAGTTATCATAATTCCACTACAGTAGATCAAGATAGACGTGCACTCTTGGCCATAAACCGAATAAGCCTACGGTAAAGGACTTTGCAATTGTTTTAAATTGTTTTCTTTGCATCATTTCTGTACAAGAGCAGTACATCTAGTCATTTTCTCCGTTTATTGCGTAGAACTTGTAGCAAAAATAATGGCAAAGTATCAGAAAAATAGAAATTGAAGGAATAGCTAGGGTCAAAGAGTATGTGTTACTTTACAAGTTAAATGAATTACTTGAAAGCTCAAATATGGAAGCTATCGTAGCTTTCAGTTAACATCCCATCTCACATAAGCCCTTATAATTCACTCCTTGTTCAAGATGGGATTTTAGAAGGCGCTTTTTTTTCCATTTGCTATTTAATGTGATTGAACTGTCGCACTTACGTTGTTCGACTTTCAAAAACAAAACTCACAGATAAAATGATTTCAAATCGGTAAAAATGAGTTTGGGTAATCCATAAGATTATCCATCTTCTTTCTATGGTTACGTTATTTTACCATGACTATGATGACTTTGACCAAAATTTAATGAAAATTTAATCATGCCTACTTACTTCTCTTGTATTTCCGACAATTCTTCAACAGAAAAGTGTAGCTTTGTAGCCACGATGGTGTTGTACACACTGCGATATTCGATAAACTCCCGTCTAAGTCGGAAGTACATCTGTAAACAAAGCATGTTGTTCGTTTGAATCCGGAGAGGAAACTGGTTAAAACCTACTCCTTGTTCGCTGTTCACGAGATCGACTTTGCAAGCATGTGCGAGCCATTCTAAGAACTCCGAATATACGTTGTGTTCTTCAACTGGTGGAGCTTCTCCGAATGCTCGTATAAACTGCGAGACGTAGGTGATGATGGAGCGTTTATCCGGTTTTTGACAGAGTACATCGTCAACCTAAAATGATGAGATTACGTTCAGAAAATAAGTTGCACCTCATTTCTTTTTCACAATCTGTCTTACAGTCTCCGTTCAAAGGCAGTTTCGGGCAAGGTTGGGGATTTTGGGCTGTTGTATGATATTGGCCTATCCTCTAAGCAAGCTGTTTCCCAAATTCGGGCAAAATGTTTCAAGCGAGAAAATAGCCCGTCGGTTT